AAAAAATGACCAGATCATTGCATTTTAATTAAAAATGGAATGAAAATTAAAAATTGGAGAAAAATATTTCAATAATAATATTCTACATTATCAATAGTAAATGCATATTTTAAACAATAGTAAAGGTGAATTAAAAATGAAACGGAAATATTTTAATAATAATATCTACAGTTCTACATCATCAATTAAAAATGGAACGAAAATTAGGTAAAAATATCATTACATTTGATATTCTAATTGATTAATTGACTAAAAATAAAAAAGAATAATTGGCTGAAAATGAATCCGATATCACTAATTGATTGAAAATATAAAAGGATAACTAATCGAGTAATATTCTACCACTATATATTTTAATCCAAGTAATCTGTCCTGATGGATTGAAGGTGTTAGCTCTAGACGAAGATGAATAGGATTTTGTTGTCATTACCAATGTCGTCTACAAAGAGGTTTCAATAATGTGTAAATATAATCGGTGATATTAAGTTTTTTTTTAAATGAAAAAATTGTTATATATCTGGACAAAAAAATATATCTTCCATACAAATGAATAAGGATACCAATTCATTTCTATAACTGAGTTGTCAGAGAACGAGCACATTTTACTAATTTATGAAAATTCTAAACAATGATAAATAAAATCTTCAAAGTTATAGCACCGTATGCGTACATCTAGACATTAGCTATTAATTTGAGCAATTATTTACACAAATTCAAGCAATGATACCATCAAAATATATAAACGATCCAAACCATATATTTAATTGCACTATATAATATTTGATGTTCTAATTTAAATAATTATATATCGATTCATATATTCTTAATATATTACAACAAATCAATTCCGTGCATCGCACGGGTGCAAATACTAGTTAGTAATAAAAACAAATTCCTACTTTTGCAACTTCCCGCCTAAACTAACTCCTAAGCTATTACTAATGGAGTTATACTTTTACACTAATCTTTAATCAAATAATTGTAGACTTTCAAATATTAGAAATGTTTATAATTTCATCTTTCTTTATATAACCATGAAGGGGGAGACCCGAAAACATAGTAAAGGTTACAACGAAGAACACACATTACGCCAAGTGGGAAAGTGGGCGTGATCATCCACTAAGAGTCTAACTATTTCCGATGGAGGTTCCGGGAGCAAACAGAGACCATTACACTGCCACCTAGAGGCTTTAGCTAAGGCATCAGCCTCTCGATTCAATTCGTGCGGGGTGGCTGTTACTTGCCAACGGGAGAGGGGACAGAGTTCCTTCTTACAAGCTTCAAGTATATTATGCGCAGCAATACACGGGGATCTAGTGGCATTAAGGTACGCTACTACTTCGACAGAATCAGACTCGATTAACACCTGTTTGAAACCCATAAAATCAGCAAGTTGGATCCCCTTTAGCAAAGCCCACGACTCTGCCACAAGAGGAAAACACTTGCCAATCGGTGATACGAATCCTTTCATCCACGTACCAGTGTGATCCCTTATAATTTCATCTTTAATTTTATTATCTAAATATATAATACAAAATTTTATCTGTGCATTGCACGTGCATCGTACCTGCATAGCACGTGTATCGCATGGATAATTGAACAATTATTTTCTCTAATTCAAACAATGATAATATCAAAAAACATAATCGATCCAATTCATTTTCATCAATTGCACTATATAATATTCGTTGTTAAAATTTATATAATTATATATCGATTCAAATATTCTTAAAATTTTATAACAAATTTATTTCTGGTGAAAATACTAGTTTGATATAAAACAAATATATTAAAGGTAAAAAAAAAACAAAAAAAAAAAAACTATAATAAAGCCCTTCAAAAATGTATATGACAAAATATCAAAATGTGATATAATGCACAAATATATTAAAGGTAAAAAAAAAAAAATCTAATTCCCTAGTTTAAATATTAATTATTTTACTTTTTCATTTGAATCTCAATATTATTTTTTTCATTTAAAAGAATTTATTTCATACAATATTCGGTATACTCACCACTACGAGACTGATTCATATTCAATTTAGGTGACATTCACTTAGCTTGACTCTTATTTAGGATATATAAATCTTGTCAAAACTCTTTTAACTATGATGCACCCTTTATTAGAAAGATATATTTGAAAACAATAAATAACATTATCTGTCAAACATGGCTACTCTTACAAAATTCGGCAGATGGAGCTCTTTGCTCTTTTTTGATTTGCTCTTTTATTTATTAGCAATCAACACCCCTTTATTAACTACAATATATGTTAATATATTGCCCCATATAGTCCCCATTCTCTCCTCTCCTCTAAACCTCATTTCTCTAGCTTAAATCCTTCCCTCTCAGCTCCTCCATAATTTCCTGATATCTGAGTAGAAATATGGATATAGAGCAAGCTGAAGCACCTCCTTCCATGGAGGCAAATGAAGCTGATGTGTCCTCTTCGATCTTCATTGAGTCCCAGGTATACTACAACAGCAAAAGACCAAAACTTTTTCCAGTTTTTTTCCATTTTTAGTTAAAAACATGCATCCATCAAGAAAGCTATTGCCTATTTATCTGGCCAGACAGGCCAGTCACTGCTAGAAATTATGAAATTTCCGACCTGAAAGTGATCTTAAATCAAGTCGAAAGTCTTGTTTCGACCATTTTTGGTATCCTGAAAAACCTTTGTTGCTATTTCCGACCACTTTTTACTTTCAACTTGATTTAAGATCAGTTTCAGGTGGTCGGAAATTTCATAATTTCCACTAGTGAGTCATACTCCTTTCAAGTTTCGACAAGAAAGATGTTGTAAGAAAAATCTAGTTGGGGAGGGGAGGGGGTTAAGCATCAACCTTAAGTTTCTTAGAAATCTATACTGCACTAGTGTATAATCTTTTGTATGTGTTGTTTTTTTAATATACTAGCATGGGGCAATGATATATGATAGTGGCAGACGACATAATAAGTGCTATATGACTCAAGCAATATCCAACATCTTTTTTTGTATTTTTAGCAAAAAGTGGGGTGTCATTGTCTTGGATAATAATAGTTTGTGAGATGATTACACTTTTATTTAAGTGGCGCTGTATCTATCTTAACAACTAAACACTTGAATATCGTCTTGATCTTCCTGTGATTTATCAGTGAGGGTATGGAGTCTGATTTTAAGGCTGCTGGATTCAACCTCTCTCTTTCAAGGTCATATTTTATTTTAATTTATTTATCCAATTTAGTATTCTTGGATAAATAATCATTACTGCTGTGGATTATCTTATGGTGAAGTGAAACAGGCAGCACTGAATATTTGAGTAAATTATTAAATTCCAATCAGAAATGTAAAAGATATCAGCATTAAGTAGTTAGTTAACAAGAAGGATTTTGATTTCTTTCCACACATTAATTAGGCTGTTGATACAACAATAGTGTTGTTGCAGTAGTTATTATTATTATTATTATTATTATTATTATTATTATTATTATTATTATTATTATTATTAGTGGGATTAATGGTTAGTGGGTAGCTTTATACAATAATGGGGTAGAAGGCATGACGGCGGTTCTAACCGTGATTTCCTTTCTTTCTTTCTTTTTATTTTTTTTTTAATTTTTTATTATTATTATTTTTTTAATATTGTATGTTATGGCCAGCAAAGCCTGGCGCAAAGGCCATGGAAGCACAGTCATTATATTATAGACCGCGGTGCATGTGCACCGCGGTCAATAACGGCGCCGTTTTTTTAAGTAAAGAAATGGCCCGCCATAGTTAACGGAGTCCGCTTGTTTGGTGTATTAAACACCAACTGACACTATAGTATATCTAAACCGACACTGCAGTTATATCAAAATGATACTGTAGTTATAGTGAAATGAAACTGCAGTGTATATAAAATGAAACTGAGTAACATTTCACATATTTGAGTGTATATTGTACAATGAAGCTGTAATTATATCAAAATGATCATGTAGTTGTGTTTTAATGAAACTATAGTGTATATAAAATAAAATTAAATAACATTTTCACATATTTGAGTCTATAAATATCGAATGAAACTATAGTTATATTGAAATGATACTATAGTTGTGTTGAACTGAAACTGCAGTGTATACAAAATGACACTGAATAACAGAGTTACTTTTTGTAAAAGGGTGCGAAATGGCGGAAACTAACACTGTTTATTTTCATTTTAAAAAAAAAAGACGCGCGGTGCATAATCGATTATGCACCGCAGTACATAATATAATTTGCCATGGAAGCAAGAGCCTGGCTTTGCGAAGCCTAGTGGTCATTTTAATTTTAATCAATCGATATACTTGCACCACAACGCGAGTAGCACTGTGCGCTCTGCGCCTCCCAAAACGGCGTCATTTTGATAAGTTATGGAGGGAGTTGACGTGAGTATGTGTATTTGTTATATAATTAGGTGTATCTGTTTATACAATTATGTGTATTTTTTTTTTTTTGAATGCCAATTATGTGTATTTGTTTATACAATTATGTACATTTTTATACAATCATGTAGATCTTTTTTATATAATTATGTATTGACATCCGAAACAGGAAATTTATGTGTATTATGTTACAATTATCTGTATTCTAATATAAAATTATGTATATTTTTGAACATGAGATTTTTTTAAAAAAAAAATTAACCGCCAACACAGGATAGCGAAATTTAAAAAAAAAAAATAATAATCTGAAACGACGTCGTTTTGCATAAGGATGCACAATGCAATACGCGCCCTGGTGCAGGATATAAATTGCCAATTTTAACATGCCAAACTGCAAAAGCCGTTGGCTTTTAAAATGAATTAAAATATGAAGTTTATTATTATTATTTTTAAAATTTCACGGTTGGGCCGGCATTTCCGATTCCAAATTTTCTAGAACCGGAACTGGAACCGTACGATTGGTTCCGGTTCTGGTACAATTCCAACCGTGCACGGTTTCGTCCGTTTTGAACCAAACCGTGGTCATGCCTAGGGGTAGTGGGTAGCTTTATTATCTGTATAAATAGATGCCTATGTATTTTGAAGAGGGAACATCTTGAAAATTAGTACTTTGGGTTTCTATTAAATGAAAGATTGGGAGAAGAAGCACTCCAGAAAAGCTTTTCCAATTTTATTTCTAAGTTTCTTGGCTATTGTTCCCTGCCTGTGACGCGATCCCAAATATCCCGTCCCGTAACAAATTTAGTATTAGAGCCAGTCGTCATGGGCGACCCAACGTTGGCCAACTCTATTACTGCGATTCGTAGGGAGGTCCAATCACTTCACGCAGCGCTGCAACCATGAAGGCTGACCAGGATGAATTACGTGCGATGTTTCGACAATTTCTGGCCGGAAAGGAACCAGTTGTCGCCGCAGCAGACGCAACACCACCGACGAACTCCGAGACAGCTCCAGCGCCGGCGACACCCGGTCCATTTCCTGTCGCCCTTGCTCCTAGGTTCACGCGACTGGAATTTCCTCGCTACGAGGGCAAAGACGATCCCATTGGCAAGAACATAGCCCGATGAATCTAGATATTGCCATGAATTTGGCACGTGTATCGTCAAGGCCAAGGGGAAGTCCGCGTCAGTCTCTGCCGTGCGAACGCAAGCTGTGGCGTCGTTTCCTGGCAGCTGGTTGGGAAGTTGTCGACGTCTTCCTCTGCCAGCGCGCATTCTGTATCAAACCGGCCGACCGGCGCGACACCTCCGCCGGAAAGATGCCTCTCACACGCGGAGTCTAACCACCGGCGTTCACGAATCTAGATATTGCCATGAATTTGGCACGTGTATCGTCAAGGCCAAGGGGAAGTCCGCGTCAGTCTCTGCCGTGCGAACTCAAGCTGTGGCGTCGTTTCCTGGCAGCTGGTTGGGAAGTTGCCGGCGTATTCCTCTGCCAGCGCGCATTCTGTATCAAACCGGCCGACCGGCGCGACATCTCTGCCGGAAAGATGCCTCTCACACGCGGAGTCTAACCACCAGCGTTCACGTGGCCTTTGCTACAATTGTGACGAACGTTGCTCCCCTGCGCACCAATGCAAGCGTTTGTTCCTCCTTGTTTTAGATGACACCGTTCCAGACGCTGCATGCGGGCTGATGGCCGACTATCCAGAGATCTCTTTACAAGTCAATACAGGTTCTAATCACGGTCAAACCATGCAGGTGCTTTCATTGAGAGTATCAACCTGGAAGGCAACAAAAAAAAAAAAAAAAAAAAAAGTGTAGCACTTGTGGATTTGCAAGGTGGCATTAAGGAATTCGGAGATAGTGAGGCACTGGATCACCATGAAGAGTACAATAATACACTGTTTACCACCACCTTGAAGACAAGGTGATTTTGATGGGCGGGAAATACAACCATAGTGGGTAGCTTTATACAATAATGGGGTAGTGGGTAACTTTATTATTTGTATAAACAGATGCCTATGTATTTTGAAGAGAGGACATCTTGGAAATTAGTACTTTGGCTTTCTATTAAATGAAAGTTTGGGAGAAGAAGCACTACAGAAAAGCTTCTTCAATTTTATTCCTAAGTTTCTTGGCTATTGTTCTCTGCCTGTGACGCGATCCCAAATATCCCGTCCCGTAACAGTTGTTTAGAGACTTTTTTTGGTTGTGTAGCTCGGCAAAATGGATCCGTACTTGGGTTTAGGAGGGTTGTCTTTTTACTCTATTGTTTACCCATCATTAATTAGAAATGTTGTCAAATATTAAAATTAGCCAAGATAAAGCTAGCTTTAGAATGCAACAATCATCATGCAAAAATGGAAAACAATGTTCAGTAGCTTCTTTGAATGAATCAAAGTAAATTGTACCTTGATGGGCTTAAGCTCAATGTATCCATAACAGGAAGGGGAAATGAGACTCCTGGATTCTTGCACCAAAGATGGATCAACAGATAGACATGGAAAACCTGCACTCAAGAGGAAAACTGGTGGATGGAAATCAGGAATACTGCTGTTAGGTAAGTTTAATTACATGGAAGCCGATAACAGATCAAGAATGAGTCTTAAAGGTGTATTAGCAGAAATTGGATAGTCCAAATATGTAGAATATCTTTAAAACGTTAGTGATTGACTATCTTTTGTTTCCTTGATACAGCTAGTGAAGGATTGGCTGCACTTGCCTTCACTGGAGTGGAAGTAAACATGGTCCTTTTCTCCAAGTCTGTCATGAGAAAATCAAATGCAGATGCTGCAAACTTGTTTAGCAGGTGGATGGGAACCGTCAACATTTTCCCACTCGTTGGTGCATTCCTCAGTGACTCTTACATGGGAAGATATCTCACTTGTACCATCTCCCTTGCTGTCATGAATATTGTAAGTGAAGTTGCTTTCTGAAAGCTTGGTTTTTGTAAGTGAAGTTCCAGAAGTTGATCGGTTTTGCAGGGATTGGTGGCATTGTCCCTGTTAACTCATGTGTCTCTGCTTGAACCTGAAGGGTGTGGGAGGATAGGAGAAGTGTGCAACCCACAATCAAGAATTGAAGTTGCAATGTTCTATGTCTCTATATATTTACTAGCTATAGGGAGTGGCTCTATAGAACCTGTACTTGCAACCTTAGGAGCAGATCAATTTGATGAACAAGATCCTGAAGAGAGCAAATCAAAGACCAAATTCTATAGCTACTTTTATGTTGCATTTAACCTTGGATCCTTGATTGCAGAGATAGTTTTGGTGTATATTGAAAATCTAGGGAAATGGGCACTTGCCTTATGGATATCTACCATATGTGGTTCTGTTTCACTGACCTTGGTAATAGCTGGGGAATACCGATATCGCCATATCAGACCTTTCAACAACCCTGTATCCAGGTTCTGCCAGGTGATTGTGGCTTCTCTGAGAAAATTAAAGCTTCAAGTCCCGTTGCATGGAGAAGGATTGTATGAAATTCATGGAAGGGCTGAGAAATATTACAGAAGAATCTCACATACAGATGGTTTTGAGTAAGTTTGTTTTCTTGAGTGTCTTTTTTATTTCAACCATGTAATGCACTCTGTTGTTACTTCATCTTTGTTTTATGCGAACAAACAGGTTTCTTGACCGTGCAGCCATTAAGGATTCATCAGAAGTTCCAAATCCCTGGAGATTATGCACTGTTACTCAAGTGGAGGAAGTTAAGTGTGTTTTGAGGCTTCTCCCAATATGGGTTTGCACCATATTGGCATCCATAGTGTTTGTTCAGGTTTTTTCTCTCTTTGTGGAGCAAGGAGCTGCCATGAATACCAAGATTGCAGACTTCCATATGCCTCCAGCCAGCATGACCTCGGTTGACATTATAAGCTCTTCTACCTTCATCATTTGCTACGAGAACATCATACTTCCTCTTTATGTCAAATTGATGAAAAGAGAACCAAAGCTTCCCAATGAGCTGCAGAGAATAGGAATAGGGATGGTCATTTCAATAATAACCATGTTGATAGCAGGCCTGGTTGAGCAACACAGACTAAGATATGCTAATGGGGAAGAAGAGATAAGTTCTCTGAGCATTTTCTGGCAGATTCCTCAGTATGTGCTTGTAGGAGTAGCTGAAGCATTTATATATGTAGCTCAGTGGGAATTCTTTGCATCACAGATACCTGATACTCTGAAGAGCATCGGGCTCGGTTTATCCATGTCCTCATCAGCCTTAGGCAGTTACCTGTGCAGCATTATACTAAGCATCGTAATGAAGATCACAACCAAACATGGGAAGCCAGGTTGGGTACCACCAAATTTAAACGACGGCCACCTCGATAGATTTTTCTTCCTGTCTGCTGTCATAGTTGCATTAGATCTTGTATTGTTCATTTTCTGCGCAAAGAGGTACAAAGCTATAGTGCTAGAAAAACTAGAGGAGACAGACGTGGAGCTTGTGGAGGGAACACCTTCGAGTTGAAGCTATGATGTTAAAGAAATAAAGAACACATCCTGTCTCATGTAAGAACATTGAATATAAGCAGGAATAGGAAATTAGAAATGCACTTCCACAAGGTGAAGTTTGTTGAAGGATATGTCGTTTTTAACTATAGTATACCACTATGCTGATTTCATCTGCCAAGACTACTGGAAAATTAGATATTACACCAAATTCACATTAATGTGAGTTACCTGGGTATTTTTTATGAAGAGTGATGAAGAATTCAGAAATTCAGCATATATTGCATTTCATAACTCATTATCTCGTTGTGAAACAAAAACATTTAAAGAGCATAGGCAATCAGTTCTTTAAGTTATGAGATCTTTTAAAATCTATATTTGTACTCTATCACAACGTTCTCTCCTTTGTAATCATTGACTTGGAACATCTCCTCCTAACTTAATTCAAACTATTCCAGATTCATAGTAATTACAATTAAGGCACTTTCTGAAACTCTCCGCTTAAACATTCATACTGACTAAGTAAAGCGGAAGGCATACCAGAACAACAGCATGTGAATGTGATTTTTCAGCCATTTTAGAATCAACTCCTCCATATTTAGCAAAACGCACATTATTTCACCATTTCTGTTCACCTGAATTCAACAATTCGTAACAAAATAACCAAATTACAACTAATTTCACCAAAATTATCCACAAAGCAATCATAAAAGTAATTACACACACATGGATAATGAACTTGCAACAGCAGCAGTTTCACCACCGCTAGTTTCAAATTGGTTCTGCGTCTGCAACATTGCGGGATTGAAATTTGACGAAGAAAGAGCTGATGAAAGTTGAGTTGAGAGAGAATTGAGAGTAAAGATAGTCGAGAGAGAAAGACGGTGTCGTAGGTTATTTATATACTGGGCCGTTGGGCCGCAATAGAGCTTGGATCCACATTTCTTGAACGGTAGTTTGATTTCCAATCGTTATATCCTACACCATGGCGCACATAGCACTGTGCGCCGCGCGCCTCCCAAAACGACGTCGTTTTGGGGTAGTGTTGGGAGGCGCGGTAGAAAGTTGCTGAAATTATGTGTATTTGTTCACAACGTTATGTGTATTTGTTCACAACGTTATGTGTATTGATTCATACAGTTATGTGTATTTTTTATACAATTATGTACATTCTTTTTATACAATTATGTACATTCGAATCAGAAAATTTGTGTGTATTATGTTAAGAGTTGATGTGTATTATGCTAAAAGTTTATGTTTATTATGTATTATGTTAGATTATGTGTACTATCTTTTAAAAAGAGTATGTATATTTTGTTATATAATTATGTACATTCATGTATAACATTATGTGTATTCTAGTATAACATTATGTACATTCTTGAACAGCGGGTTTTTTTTTTAAAGAAAGACTACTGCCATTCACTGGGGCGGGAAATTTCAAAAAAAAAAATAATTAAAACGACGTCGTTTTGCATCTGGGCGCATAGTGTAACGCGTGCCGTGGTGTAGGATATAAATGTCCTTTGATTTCAGAAATGCTTTAGAAATGTATCCTAAGCCCAACTCTTCTCCCCTTGGGCCTTGGCCCATATATGGACAAGATTTTTAATTGAAAAAAAAAAATGTACTCTCAATTTTTTTTTTTTTTTTAACTATTTTAGTCCCTAACAATTTACAATTACAAAAAATTAGTCCTCCATATAACCAAACACATGATTTTAGTCTTTTTTGCATCTTTTACCATCAACTACTGTTTATTTTTTATTGAAGAAAGTGTCAAATGGACTACTGAATTTTTTCACATTGTGCAATTGAACTATTAAAAACTTAAAATTTATGCAAATAGTATTTTTTTTATAGGTTACTTTCAAATTTTTCTTAAATATGATGTCATAATGTGAAATTATATATATAATATTTTAAATTGTTATGGAATTAAAGGAAAAATGAAGTGTTTGTGCAAGGTTAGATTAAGTAATAGCTTTATCCACTAAGCTATAGTCACATTCGTGTTTATACTTACATGCAGTAAGTATTTAACTAAATGTTCAATGTGATCCGTTTCCAAGTTCCAAAGAAAATAGTCGACTCATGATGGATTGATGGTAGGGTTCAAATACGCGTCTTCAAAGTACAACAGAGCTTCATTATCATCAAGTTTACCAGATAGACTAGTTTTGATACTTGAACAGTCTATGTAAGACTTATATTTGTTTATTGTAAACCTAATACTATAAATACCATCCTCACAACCTCGGTAAGAACATATGAATGTCTTCCTCCTTTCATATCCAATCTGCTGATGTTCTTATATATTACATATTATTATTCATAACATAAATATTATTTTTAAAATTAAATGATTTTTTTTTCCAGAAGAAACTGTGGATGAAGGGGGGTTTATATGATTTTGATTGAGACCACATTCCGTATTTGGTTTTGCCTTACTTCTTCAAGATGTATTAGTTTTATTTTGGGTGAGTGCAGAAATTGTATTTTCCTAGAACATGTGTAGTGACAAAATCTGTTTAAGTTCATTTGTGAATTGCATAATACACTCTCCGTTATTTTCCCTTTTTCGCAGCTCTTCAAGTTCTTCCAACCATAATTGCCTCCATCTTCCTCTGAAATTTTAGAAAAAAAAATATATATATATTTTTTCTTTTAATTTTTAGAAATAATAATTAAAATAATTTTTATATCTAATTTGACGTTATGACATCATATTTAATGAAAATTTGAAAATAACTTGTAAAAAATGCTATTTGTATAATTTTTGAGTTTTTAATGGTTCATTTGCACACTTTTTGTTCGATGATTCAGTTACACGTACAATGTGAAAAGTTCAGTGGCCTATTATCTGTCATTTTTTTCAATATAATATAATAACAGCTCGACTTTAAACTAATTAAAACTGTAGATATGCAGAGCCAACATGGGTGGTGTTACACGTTATAGTCGGCTTATAGCACACCACCTAGATATAGAAATCCCTTGCCAACTAATATGTATATGTATATTTATCTACAAATATACAAATCTAATAAAAATTAATAAAATTATATCCCTAACGGGAACTACAAAGTATTGGTGTAATTGTTTATTGAAATGAATGGTTCGTATTATTTTGTCATGGAAACTAGTGGAGGAGTGGAGACTAATGGGACGAGGAAAATATTGTAACATATACCTCAACTACCATATAAGTCTCCAAATATCGTACACATGCACAAAGTACTATTTTTTTTTTGAATAATTGCACAAAGTACTATACTCGTGAATATATGTACAAAATATATTATTTGATCACATTTTATAAAAAAAATATTATAGCAATATCACTTTTTCATAAAAATTCACATTATAATTTTCACAACGCGTAAGAATCTTGAACATTGATATAATTAAAATTTTTGCCTCACAAGCTTTCAAACAAAAATGGTAATCTAAATTAACAAGTTTTTACATTCTCAATAACATTACAAAATGGATCTATTATTTGAAAACATAATGCCATGGTTTTTAAAAAATTATAAATCAATTTTTCTCATATATATATATATATATATATATATATATATATATATATCCCTATACTAATAATTGTTGTGAGTTTCCATTTGCCCCTCAAAAATGACACCTTTATTAACCATTGATCTCAAATCCTATAGTTAAAAATTTTTGATTTAACATTTGGATTTATTTATTTTTTCAAGAGTTAATGAACAATTTGGTCCTTCAATTATTCGCGAACTGTCAATGTAGCCCCTTAATTGCTTATTCATCGATTTGGTCCCCGAAAATAATTATTTTTAGTCGATTTAGTCCCTCAAGCCGTCTTCCGTCGATGATCGGAGGGATTAAATTGACTAAAAATAATTATTTTCGGGGACCAAATCGACGGTCAGAAAGACTAAATCGACTAAAAATAATTGTTTTCGGTGAATCCGGAGGCAAAAGAATAAAATAAAAATTGCTGCATCTTCTTCCAAATTAGTTCAATATTAGTAATAGTTCAAATATATCGTAATGTTGAAAAAATGTATTAAAATAGTCTATATATATTATATACGATATTTTGTTATTAATGATGTACTATTAATGTTTAATTTGTCATGATCATGTTTGGAGTTATAATTGTATCATCTTCTTATCCAAAGAATGTATTTATGTATGTTTTTATTTTCTCATATAAATTTATTAAAATTTGTATATATTACTCCATATATCATTTAAAAATTAGGACACATTAATTAATTGTTGGGCATGATGCTTAGCGCAAAGCGCGTACCCGCGACTAGTAGTACTATAATCATAAGCTCAAATTTTGTCATAGAGATTATTGGAGGAGTGGGACTGATTGATGAGGAAAATCACAAGATAAGTCTCAACTAATCTACAAGTCTTCAAATATTTATTACAATAATGTACAAAGTACTATGCTCATGAATATATATGCGAAATATATTATTCGATGACATTTTATGAAATTATTATAGCAATATCACTTTTTTCCATAGAGATTCACATTATAATTTTCACAAAGCCTAAGAATCTTGAACATTAAGATGATTTAAATTTGTACCTCACAAACTTCATAACAAAAAATGGTTGTCTAACTTAACATGTTTTTACATTCTCAATAACATTACAAAATCGATATATTATTTGAAAACTTAATGCCATGGTTTTTTTTTTTTGTTTTTTTTTTTATTTTTTAACTTTCTTTTATAAATCAATTTTTTTTTATACATACGAAGTATTATAATCATAATCTCAAATTTTGTCATGGAGACTAGTGGAGGAGTGGAGACACAATATGCCTCAGCTCATTTTCCAAGATATGCCTCAACTAGTCTACAAGTGTCTAAATACTCGCACGAAGTACTATGCTCATAAATATATGTAGTGTTGCAATCACTAAAGGGGATGTATTCAATCATGATTTTCATATACTTTTAAAAAAATTTATGAACTTTAAAAGTTTAGAGGTATTTAATTCAAACTTTTAGGGAGTTTTTAATTTAAAAATCATGCAATATTCAATTAAGATGTTTAAAGAGTCTTTAAAGAGTCAGGTGGTATTCGATTAAAACTTTTAAAGAGTCTTTAAAAGTCATGTGGTATTCAAAAAGTTATGAATTTTTGTAGACTTTTTAATTTTAGAACTTTTGTAGACTTTTCATTCTCAAATATAAATACTTGAAATCCAACTATTAACCCTAAGATTTCAAAATTTTCTTTCTATCAACTCTGAATGTTTTCCTCTCTATTGAACTCTATTTTTCTACCTATTTAAACTTTATAAACCTTATATCTTAATTTAATAAATTATTTTTTCTTCATTATCCTATATTTTCTTCATACCTAAACTCTACCAGTTTTTTTTTTCTCATAAACTTTACAATCTTCCTCTAAAAATTCAAAATAATATTATTTTTACTTCATTATTGCTTGTTTATTTTGATTTTTTTATTTTTTTTCTACGAACTTTTAATTTATCCCTAACTTCTAAACTTTCCCTACCAACTTTTCTCTATAAATACATGAACAAGGCAAATTTTTCATCTATTACCATCAAATTTTACTATATGTTTTATAATATTTTTATAAATACTTATATATTTTGATTTTTATTCTTTTTATATTTATATTCTTAATATATTTTTTTTAACACAAGTTATTGCGAATAGTGAACTAATGTCCGCAACAACAATTTGGGGCAAACAGTAGCACCTTATTGCTATTCGCAATCCCAAATTGCTATTGCAAATAATAGCTACCTATTTATTTGATGCCTAGCAATATATCAAGTATAATTTATATATATATATATATATATTACTAATATTATATTTTAATTTTTTATGCAACTAGTAATTATATTTTTAAATATTTTATTTGAACAATTCTGTTACTATAAATTTTAATGTTCAATATTATTATGAATTTCTTATGAAATAGTTTTTTTTTTTTGATGTTTTTTAAAAATATATAAGTAATTAGCATATAAATCTCACCATACTATGGATAAAAATAATAATGTTGAAAATGTTGATGTGGGTGAAGAACTATATAATAAGAAGAATTTTATGATATATTATAACATGTTTTCTAAGAAAATTAAAAATATAAGAATCGGAGTCATTGAAAGTTTGTAAAGATGTATTCAATTTAGAATTTCAATGACTTTTGTAGACTTTTTAAAATAAAAAAGTTGATAAAAGTTTATGAATGATTTATATATATATATATATATATATATATATATATATATATATATATATATATATATATATATATATATATATATATATATATATAAATTTTTATAGAGTTTTACAAAGTTTTAAGAAGTTTTGAACGACACTATGAAAATTAATCAAAATTTATTCAAATCTATCATTTAAAAAGTTTTTAAAAGCCTACAAAAGTCATTATACACCCCTCTAATAAGTAATGTTACATTTCCCTCATAATTTTATCTCATAAATTATACGGAGTACCTCTTTATAATAATATTTTATTATTTTTTAACATATACTTTATTAGTTTATTTTATATTTAATTAATAAGTAATTTCCTTTTTAAAACGTTGGTTAAAATTGGTCAATTCACAGTTGACAATGATTAAAAAAATTTATTGTCTCCTTTCAAAAAAAATAAAAAATTATTGTCATGCCAAAATATAAACATTAAAAGGGCATCAAACATCGTGTGCTCAGATGGCATGTAGTAACTCTCCTATGTGAGAAGTCATGAGATCAAGTCTCAATGGAAGACTGTATGAATAGATACTACAATGTTATAGAATCAGTAGCATCCAAAAAAAAAAAGGAAGGCATTATTCATCACTAATATAAATACGATGCTCTATCTATTCATTCCATTTCATTGTTTTACTTACATTATCTATTCATTCCACTTCATTGTTTTACTTACATTTTAAATTTATCTTTGAAAAATATTTACTTCCGTAATTTAAATATCACTGTACTAATTATTTTACTTTTTCTTTCAAAAAAAAAAACATTTTACTTTTTCATTTTAATCTCAATACTTTTTATTTTTCATTCTTAATGTTTTTTTTTTTTTTAAGGTGTGGAGGGGAAAACACAGCTAGGCTAATTCCTAGCTCTCATTGCCTCATTGGTTAGGCAGCTCTTCGCAACGTCAGCTTGGAGATGGCTCAAAATCTCATCCGGGGGGGTATGTGAACTCAATCCAATCACATCGTCTTCTCAGAGCTATCTAGCTATCTTGGCTAGAGCAGCCGCCGCATTGTTTTGATACAACATTTGCTATTCTCACCACTGAAAGACTAATCCAAATTCAATTTAGGTGACATCCACGTGATTTGACTCTTATTTAGGAAATAAAATTTTTATTTATTACCAACCCAACACCCATTATTAACTACCATATATGTTAATTTAATTTATTGCCCCATGCATATAATCCCCATTCTCTCCTCTTCTCTAAACCTCATTCCTCTTCGCTTAAATCCTTCTCTCTCAAGTCTCAGTTCCTCCATAATTTCCTGATATCTGAGTAGAAATGGATATGGAGCAAGCTGAAGCACCTCCTTCCATGGACGCAGACAAAGCTGCTGCATCCTCTTCAATCTTCATTGAGTCCCAGGTATAGTACTACAACAACAACAGACGAAAACTTTTTCCAGTTTTTCCATTTTTAATAAGTTAAAAACATGCATCCATATATCGAGAAAGCTATAGCCTATTTATCTGGCCAGTCATACTCCTTTCAACAAGAATGATGTTGTAAGAAAAATCTAGTTTGGGTGGGGGGTAAGCATCAACCTTAAGTTTCTTAGAAATCTATACTGCACTAGTGTATAATCTTTTGTGTTGTTTTTTTAACATCCTGGTTGATACTGGGGTAACATACTAACATGGGGGGATGATATATGATGGTGGCAGACAACATATTTGCTATATGACTGCAGCAACATCCAATTTCATTTCATATATAGATATTTATGGATGTTAAATAAACTTCACAAACTTAAACCAGAAATGTTAGGATCTCAGTTTTGATATTCCATTAGTTGAATAAACTATTGTAAGAATCAGTTTCATGTCAAATCATATCAATACTGAAAACAACATAATTTATACTTTATAATTTTAAAAAGTGAATATCAAATTTATAAAATATACCACATCTTTTTGTATTTTTAGCAAAAAGTGGGTTGTCATTGTCTGGGATAATAATAGTTTGTGAGATGATTACACTTTTATTAACTGGCACTGTATCTATCTTAACAACTAAACACTTTAGTATCTTCTTGATCTTCCTCTGATTTATCAGAGGTGGTATGGAGTCTGATTTTAAGGCTGCTGGATTCCCCCTCTCCCTTTCAAGGTCATAATTTATTTTAATTTATTTATCCAATCCAATGTAGTATTCTTGGATAAATAATCATTACTGCTGTGGATTATCTTAGGTGAAGTGAAACAGGCAGTACTGAATATTTGAGTCAATTACTCAATTCCAATCAGAAATGTAAAAGACGACCTCAGCATTAAGAAGCTAGTTAACAAGAAGGATTTTGATTTCTTTCCACACATTAATTAGGCTAGTTAGAGACTTTTGTTGGTTGTGTAGCTCTGCAAAATGGATCAGTAATTGGGTTTAGGAGGGTTGCCCTTTTGCTATTTTGTTTACCCATCATTAATTAGAAATGTTGTCAAATATTAGAATTAGCCAAGATAAATCTAGCTTTAGAATGCAACTAACATCATGCAAAAATCGAAAACAATGTTCAGTAGCTTCTTTTAATGTTTCAAAGTACATTGTACCTTGATGGGTTTAAGCTCAATGTATCCATAACAGGAAGAGAAAATGAGACTCCTGGATTCTTGCACCAGAGATGGATCAACAGATAGCCATGGAAAACCTGCACTCAAGAGAAAAACTGGTGGATGGAAATCAGGAAAACTGCTGTTAGGTAAGTTTAATTACATGGCAGCCGGTAACAGATCAAGAATGAGTCTTAAAGGTGTATTGGCAGCCATTGGATGGTCCAAATATGTAGAATATCTTTAAAACGTTAGTGATTGACTATCTTTTGTTTGCTTGATACAGCCAGTGAAGGATTGGCTGCACTTGCCTTCACTGGAGTGGAAGTAAACATGGTCCTTTTCTCCAAGTCTGTCATGAGAAAATCAAATGCAGATGCTGCAAACTTGTTTAGCAGGTGGATGGGAACCGTCAACATTTTCCCACTCGTTGGTGCATTCCTCAGTGACTCTTACATGGGAAGATATCTCACTTGTACCATCTCCCTTGCTGTCATGAATATTGTAAGTGAAGTTGCTTTCTGAAAGCTTGATATTTGTAAGTGAAGTTCCAGAAGTTGATCGGTTTTGCAGGGATTGGTGGCATTGTCCCTGTTAACTCATGTGTCTCTGCTTGAACCTGAAGGGTGTGGGAGGATAGGAGAAGTGTGCAACCCACAATCAAGAATTGAAGTTGCAATGTTCTATGTCTCTATATATTTACTAGCTATAGGGAGTGGCTCTATAGAACCTGTACTTGCAACCTTAGGAGCAGATCAATTTGATGAACAAGATCCTGAAGAGAGCAAATCAAAGACCAAATTCTATAGCTACTTTTATGTTGCATTTAACCTTGGATCCCTGATTGCAGAGATAGTTTTGGTGTATATTGAAAATCTAGGGAAATGGGCACTTGCCTTATGGATATCTACCATATGTGGTTCTGTATCACTGACCTTGGTAATAGCTGGGGAATACCGATATCGCCATATCAGACCTTTCAACAACCCTGTATCAAGGTTCTGCCAGGTGATTGTGGCTTCTCTGAGAAAATTAAAGCTTCAAGTCCCGTTGCATGGAGAAGGATTGTATGAAGTTCATGGAAGGGCTGAGAAATATTACAGAAGAATCTCACATACAGATGGTTTTGAGTAAGTTTGTTTTCTTGAGTGTCTTTTTTATTTGAACCATGTAATACACTCTGTTGTTACTTGATCTTTGTTTTATGCGAACAAACAGGTTTCTTGACCGTGCAGCTATTAAGGTTTCATCAGAAGTTCCAAATCCCTGGAGATTATGCACTGTTACTCAAGTGGAGGAAGTTAAGTGTGTTTTGAGGCTTCTCCCAATATGGGTTTGCACCATATTGGCATCCATAGTGTTTGTTCAGGTTTTTTCTCTCTTTGTGGAGCAAGGAGCTGCCATGAATACCAAGATTGCAGACTTCCATATGCCTCCAGCCAGCATGACCTCGGTTGACATTATAAGCTCGTCTACCTTCATCATTTGCTACGAGAACATTATACTTCCTCTATATGTTAAATTGATGAAAAGAGAACCAAAGCTTCCCAATGAGCTGCAGAGAATAGGAATAGGGATGGTCATTTCAATAATAACCATGTTGATAGCAGGCCTGGTTGAGCAACACAGACTAAGATATGCTAATGGGGAAGAAGAGACAAGTTCTCTGAGCATTTTCTGGCAGATTCCTCAGTATGTGCTTGTTGGAGTAGCTGAAGCATTTATATATGTAGCTCAGTGGGAATTCTTTGCATCACAGGTACCTGATAGTCTGAAGAGCATTGGGCTCGGTTTATCCATGTCCTCATCAGCCTTAGGCAGTTACCTGTGCAGCATTATACTAAGCATCGTAATGAAGATCACAACCAAACATGGGAAGCCAGGTTGGGTACCACCAAATTTAAACGACGGCCACCTCGATAGATTTTTCTTCCTGTCTGCTGCCATAGTTGCATTAGATCTTGTAATGTTTGTTTTCTGCGCAAAGAGGTATAAAGCTATAGTGCTAGAAAAACTAGAGGAGACAGACGTGGAGCTGGTGGAGGGAACACCTTTGAGTTGAAGCTATGATGTTAAAGAAATAAAGAACACTTCCTGTCTCAGGTAAGAACATTGAATATAAGCAGGAATAGGAAATTAGAAATGCACTTCCACAAGGTGAAGGATATGTTGCTTTTAACTATAGTATACCACTATGCTGATCTCATCTGCCAAGACTTATGATTCTGTACTAAGCTATCCATTAAGACTGGAAAATTAGATATTACACCAAATTCACTTTAATGTTAGTGGCCTGGGTATTTTTTATGAAGAGTGATGAAGAATACAGAAATTCAGCATATATTGCAGCATTTGATAACTCAATATCTCCATTCTCCATGATGCCTTGTGAAACAAAAACATTTAAAGAGCATAGGCAATCAGTCCTTAAGTTATGAGATCTTTTAGAATCTATATTTGTACTCTATCACAACGTTCTCTCCTTTGTAATCATGGACTTGGAACATCTCCTCCTAACTTAATTCAAACTATTCCAAATTCATAGTCATTACATTAAAGCACTTTCTAAAACTCTCCGCTTAAACATTCATAGTGACTAAGTAAAGTGGATTGCATACCAGAACAACAGCCTGTGAATGTGCTTCTTCAGCCATTTTAGAACCAACTCCTCCCTATTTAGCAAGACGCACATTATATATAGATATAATACCTGAATTCAACATTTCTGTTCACCTGAATTCAACAATTCAAGGCATATTTAGCAAGACGCACATTATTTCACCATTTCTGTTCACCTGAATTCAACAATTCGTAACAAAATAACCAAATTACAACTAATTTCACCAAAATTATCCACAAAGCAATCATAAAAGTAATTACACACACACATACACATGGATAATGAACTTACAACAGCAGCAGTTTCACCACCGCTAGTTTCAAATCCCAGAGCAACCGCACTTTCTTCCGGGATTAATTGGTTCTGCGTCTGCAACATCGCGGGATTGGAATTTGACGAAGAAGGAGCTGAAGAAAGTTGAGTTGAGAGAGAATTGAGAGTAAGATAGTCGAGAGAGAGATGGTGTTGTAGGTTATTTATATAGTGGGCTATTGCGCCGCAATAGAGGTTGGATCAATCATTATTGTGTGGACTATATTTTGTCTACTGTAAAATAATGTACATTCAGTACACAAGTAATGTATATTCAGTGCAAAGATAATTTACATTATATACAGGGGAGGTATATTATTTTTGTTCTGAGTGTACATTATATTGTATAGTGTATATTCAGTACAAAAATAATGTACTTTTGGTACATTTAAAATGTACTTTTTATTATGGTCCATATAACATTATGTAGACCATGGTCCATACAATAATTTGCCATCTTGGATCCACATTTCTTGCACAGTAGTTCAGTTTCGGAAATGCTTTAGAATTTTGTCCTGAGCCCACCTCTTCTCCTCTTGGCCCTATGGCCCATATAATGGACAAGATTTTTAATTGAAAAAAAAAAAGTAAATCTCTCAAACAAAACAAAACCAAAAAAAATTCATTTAACTATTTTAGTTTCTAACAATTTACAATTGTAAAATTAGTCAATATAACCAAACACTGAAACACATGATTTTTGTCCTTTTGCATCTTTTGCCATCAGCTACTGTTTATTTTTATTTAGTATGTAACACGGTACAACATATAGAAGATGATCAATGATAATAATATGTAACATGGCATTAAGTGTCAAATAAAAAACAAGCAATAGATGACAACAATACGAAAAGAACCAAAACAGCTACATCAGGGACTAATTTTGCAATTGACCATTGTCATATTTTAAAACAACTAAGGGTGTGTTTGGTTCACACATAGGAATCGGAATCGGAATGGGTATCAAATACTTGGTAATGGTAATGGGTTTTGGTGAAAGTATTTAACATGTTTGGTAGTAGAGTGGAATGAAAATGGTTACTAATAGTAGTGGTTAAGAATGAATAAGAGAATGAAACCCTTATTGTATTTGGGTATGAGTATTTCAATTGATGAGGTATTCGAAACTCATAGTAGTGTTCTAAAAACCTATTAACCAAACAACAACAATCACTTTCATACTCATTCCTATGGGCAAAACCCACCAACCAAACACACCCTAAATACAAATAACTAAGGGATTACAATTTTTTCGAAGAAACTAAATATTAATAATTAGATTGTGCTTATATCAATTCGTCAAATGTTCAAGACCTTGACTGTTCAGTATAAGAATTATGTCTCATTTATTAGAGGTGAAAGTTTGGAAGAATGATCAGGAATCGAGTCTCACCAGCGACAATGTGGGAGCTACCTCTCAAAGTGAGGGGAGTTCCTTGTGCGCAGTGAGCAAAGGTCCAGCCTCTGTGGTTCATGTTCAGTTTAGTTACCATGATTTACATCCTTCCAAAGGCTCTGTCGTGTCGGGGTGTGGGAGGCCCTTAGGGTTGGGGTTCAGCCTTTTTGAAGAATGAAATTAAAATGGTAAAAAACAACAAGGATAGTTATGCCAACGCTGCATAGGTGCTGCACTTGTGGAAAATAGAATGTCTCAGAAGTGGGGCGACCAGTTGAGCTGACCATTTTAATTTCATAATTTGACGTAAGGGTTTCCATGAAAGTTGTAGCACTATGAGTTTTTCTCCCATTGGATATTTATGGATGTTAAATAAACTTCACAAATCTAAAAGGGAAATGTTAGAAGCCTAGTTTTGATTAGGGATGGCAATGGGTCGGGGTGGGCTATCCATTACTCGACCTACCTTATATTTTCTCCACCCACCCACAACCCCAACTCGCATCGGGTGGACTTTTTCAAAACCCACCCCACCCCCACTGAGTGCGGGCGCCCACTACGGGTACCCACCACTTATCATATTTTTTTCAAAAAATAATATTTAAATTACTTACCCATAATAAAATAATAAAATTCATTAGTGATACTAGAACATAAAATAATAGAAATATTTAAATATAACAACTAAATTGTTAATTGTTAATTTTTAAAAATAAAGTTAGTAGTTTAGATATAAAAATAGTAAAAAGATACACAAAATTATATAAACTTTTATAAATAACTACATACTAGTACTTACTTTACTATTATATATATATACACACACATACATGGTGAGTCGGGTAGGGTTCTAGGCGGGTTTTGTTACTTTTGTACATAGAATCCGAATCAAACCCAACCCACCGCGGATTTATTTTTTTTAAGACCCACCCCCGACCCACCATCACCCAAAAAAAAAAAACTCGATCCATGCGGGGGTAGATTTGGATGGATATCCGCAGGGGCGGATTGAAATTGCCATCCCTAGTTTTGATATTCCACTAGTTGAAGAATTAAACAATTATAAGAATCACTTTCATGTCAAATAATACAACCCTGATTCATCCTTCATCGAAGCTACTCTGGGCAACAGTATCAGTTTGACCTGGCGCACCATCATGGCACTCTCCATAGCTATTAGACAAGGACAACCCTTATATCACATCTACCCCACCGGCCACCACAGCACTGGATCAACGCCGCCACAATAGATTCACTGATTCACCCAAACGGTAAGTGTTGGAATTAGGATTTATTAGGTGAATGAAGCCCTACATTGTACCATCTCCCGTGCTAAGTGAAGTTGCTTTGTTAAAAGCTTGATTTTTGTTAAGTGAAGTTCCTGAAGTTGATTGATTTTGCAGGGAATGGTGGCATTGTCCCTATTAACACACGTGTTTATTATGCTTGAAACTGAGGATAGTAGAAGTGTGCTGGACACTTTTTAGGATATAAATCTTGCAAACCTCTTTAACTATGTTGCACACTTTATTAGAAATATATACTTTGAAACAATAACATTATATCTGTCAAGCATGGCATGGTACGGTTTGGAAACAACAACAACAACAAAGAAAATTAGGCACATGGTACGGCTTGGAAACAACAAAGAAAATTAGGCACATGGTACGGTTTGGAATGATATATTTTTATTTATTACCAATCAACACCCATTATTAACTACCATATGAGTTAATATACTGCCCCATACAGCCCCCATTCTATCCTCTCCTCTAAACCTCATTTCTTATTTTCTCTAGCTTAAATGAGTTAAATCATTTTCTCTCAGGCTCTCAGCTCCTTCCATAATTTACTGATATCTGAGTAGCAATGGATATGGATATGGAGCAAGCTGATGCAGACGAAGCTGCTGTATCCACTTCGATCTTCATTGAGTCCCAGGTATACTACAACGACGAAAGACCAAAACTTTTTCCAGTTTTTCCATTTTTAGTTAACAATATGCATCCATCGAGAAAGCTATCGCCTATTTATCTGGCCAGTCATACTCCTTTCAACAAGAAGATGTTGTAAGAAAAATCTTTTTTTTTTTTTTTTTTTTTTTTTTTTTTTTTTTTTTTTTTTGTGGGAGGGGAGGGGGGTTAAGCATCATCCTTAAGTTTCTTAGAAATCTATACTGTGCTAGTGTATAATCTTTTGTGTTGTTTTTTAACATCCTGGTTGATACTGGGGTAACATACTAGGAGCGTTATGCTGATGCACACGGTTGCAAAAACGACGTCGGTTTGACGTCAAACTTCATAACGGATGTGTACTTATGCAATTCTGATTTTTTTTTTAAAGTTAGGCGTCATAACGACATCGTTTTTGCATCTGTATGCACCATACATGGTGCATACGGATGCACAGCATAACACTCCATTCAATTTAGCAGGCAAAAGTAATTTTGTGATTTACAGTAGGCATGTTCTAAAAGGCCAGGAAAGACCGAAAGAGTAGAAAAATCATGAGCATTTATCTCAAACTTAGTACCCATATATCAAACAAAAATATAGAAATAATATTCATACCAAAATTAGAGCTTGATGAAGTAGTGTGCTGGAACAATTTAGTTGAGCATTTTAGGGCCTGGCCCACGGGTCTTAACGGCCCAAGAACGTTAGGCCCGCTCTTTCACGGGCCATTTTTTTGTGGCCCTAAACCGCCCCACCACGGGCAGGTGCGGGCTTCCAGCCACTTTGACAGCCAACATATCTTAGGTGAAGTGAAACAAGCAGTATTGAATATTTGAGTAGATTACTAAATTCCAACCAGAAATGTAAAAGACGACATCAGCATTAAGAAGTTAGTTAACAAGAAGGATTTTGCTTTCTTTCTACACATTAGTAGGCTGTTTAGAGACTTTTGTTGGTTATGTAGCTCTGCAAAATGGATCAGTAATTGGGTTTAGGAGGGTTGTCTTTTTACTCTTTTGTTTACCCATCATTAATTAGAAATGTTGTCAAATATTAAAATTAGCCAAGATAAATCTAGCTTTAGAATGCAACTAACATCATGCAAAAATCAAAAATCGAAAACAATGTTCAGTAGCTGCTTTTAATGTTTCAAAGTAAATTGTACCTTGATGGGTTTAAGCTCAATGTATCCATAACAGGAAGAGAAAATGAGACTCCTGGATTCTTGCACCAGAGATGGATCAACAGATACCCATGGAAAACCTGCACCCAAGAAGAAAACTGGTGGATGGAAATCAGGAATACTGCTGTTAGGTAAGTTTAATTACATGGCAGCCGGTAACAGATCAAGAATGAGTCTTAAAGGTGTATTGGCTGCCATTGGATGGTCCAAATATGTAGAATATCTTTAAAACGTTAGTGATTGACTATCTTTTGTTTGCTTGATACAGCCAGTGAAGGATTGGCTGCACTTGCCTTCACTGGAGTGGAAGTAAACATGGTTCTTTTCTCCAAGTCTGTCATGAGAAAATCAAATGCAGATGCTGCAAACTTGTTTAGCAGGTGGATGGGAACCCTCAACATTTTCCCTCTCGTTGGAGCATTCCTCTGTGACTCTTACATGGGAAGATATCTCACTTGTGCCATCTCCCTTGCTGTCATGAATATTGTAAGTGAAGTTGCTTTCTGAAAGCTTGATATTTGTAAGTGAAGTTCCTGAAGTTGATCGGTTTTGCAGGGATTGGTGGCATTTTCCCTGTTAACTCATGTGTTTATGCTTGAACCTGAAGGGTG